GTAACTAACTGCTTTTCTCTTGCTGCTTTTAAGATTCTCTCTTTGTATTTAACCTTTGGCATTTTAATTATGATGTGTCTTGGTGTGGGCCTCTTAGAGTTCCCAGTTTTGGGGATTCTCTGAGCTTCCTGGGATTTTATGTCTATTTCCTTCATCAGGTTAGGGAAGTTTTCCATCATTACTTCTTCAAATAACTGTTCAACATCTTGTTTTCCTTCAGGTACCCCTATGACGTGGATACTCTTTATCTTTAATAGTGTCCCATAGACTCCTTAAATTATTATTATAGTCTTGGCTTTTTTCTTCTTGCCATTCTGATTGAGTATCCTTGGCTTTCCCATCCTCTATATCATCTGATCCTCTTCTTTATTCACTTTGTTTTTTCCATTTAATATACTTTGCTCATCTCCAAAAGAAATAGACATAAAACCGCAGGAAGCTCGTCTTCATTTCTGACTGGTTCCCTTTTATAATTTCCATTTCCATTTTTATGTTTTTTATCTCTTTGTTGAAGTTCTCACTGAATTCATCTACACTCCTATAAGTTCATTGAGCATCTTTATAACCAGTGTTTAGAACTCTGTATGTTAGATTACTTGACTCCATTATATCTGATCTCTGTTCTGTTCTGTCATATGGTTTCCGCTTCTTTTTCTTCCCATTTGGCTGCCTTTCTGTTTCTGTTTCTATGTATTAATCAAAGCTCCTAAGTCTCCCAGTGTTATTAGTATAGCTTTGTACAGTAGGTGTCCAGTGGCACAGTCCCGAGAGGGGTTGAGCTGTAGGCTAAATTTAGCCCCAGCCTGGGCCCCTCTGGGGCCACCTGTTAAAAGTCAGCAAGCAATCCACAGGAGCTGTGCTTATAGTTGCCTCAAAAGGCCACACCAGAAACCAAGGCCAGCTGCCTCCAATGTGCGTCCAGGCATTGCTCAGCAAGGGGCACCTAACTCGTGGAGGAAAAACCTGGATGTGGTTTGGGTGGGGCCGTGAGTTGAGGGAGGCAAAGTGACTTGTTATCCAGTTTGATGACGTCTCCGCTATGGGGTGCTGAATCTGTGTACTGGGAGTGGGGAGGGCTCAACAGAGGAACAATAGATACCACCAGCACTTCTGTACAGAGCCTCAGCCATCACTCTGACAACTCAGTGTCCCCCTGTAAGTCTCTGGGGCCTCCTACACAGCTGAACCAGCGCTAGTGCTCAGAGCGAGTAGGTTCGTCACCACAAAAGTCTACTCGGCAGACACGGCCCCTTTAAGAAGCTGCTGGCTGCCGTGCTGCTGCTGTCCCACTCAGCCGCTGGGGACTGGGCAGCCTCGCATCCTCGCCCCGTCCTACCTTCTGCCATTGCAGGGTGATTTCTTAGATTGTATGGTTTGTTCATCTAGATCTCAGGCAATTCTTCCTTGTTGTTTGCTCCTTGTTTCTGTCACAACTTGGATTTGGTTGCCAAAGGAATGAACAGAATCTCTATCATCTATTCCATTTTTTTTCCACCTTCTAAATTTTTAAAAATAGAAAATATGTTCAGTCAGTTCTTGGCAATTAAGATTAGAAACCTTAGATCACTCAAAAATTTCAAGTAATCTCTTAGCAACATAAATGTTTACATAGGAAAAAAAAGAAACGTTTGGCAGCTATTCAGTTAATTGTATCAGTATTAGACATCTAAGCTTAAAATTTGCATGGAATTAATTCATGTGAGGAATAAATTATTCTTGAGTATTATTTAAAATTGATCATAATTACCAAATAATAGTCAAATCCACACTTCACTTTGTACTATATGGGAACAATCTTACGCAAGTACAAATCTCCAAAATGTTCAACAACAAAAAAGTAATTTGTTTCTACACCTGGCCTTATTTAAGGAGATTAATGATTTATTTATTCAACATCACTGTGAAATGAAGTGTTTCAAATAATTGTATGCCTTTAAGTGCCAAGATTTTTTTGTTAATAATTTTAACCACTTGGATGGGAATTTCTTTTGGAAAGCTATTACACATTTGGATGTTTTCTCCCCTTTTTTAAGACTTTACACAGACTATGATTAAGGTTTTCATATTGACCTGAGGTCAAGATCAGTTGGGCTCCTTATCTCATTCTGTCTTATAATTCCAAAGGACCCTTGTTCATGTTTGTCTTATGGAAATATATATAGTAGTAGTAGTTCCTTATATATTTGGGGCCGCTAAACAATTTGTGAATATTTCTCCAGAAAATTGCTTTTTTTCATATCCATTTAAGCCATTACTTCAGTCAATTTCACTGAGCTTTAGTAACTTCTCTTCGTAAACACACGTATGCCAATACTCACTTTGTTACCACAATGTTTCTGATTAATCTGGTCCATGTTTCATATTATCTTCACCAAAATCAATAGCAGTAATCAGTGCATAAGCATTGTTTATTCCAGCAGTAAATGACCACAAGGATGAGAATTTTGAATTGTGTGTCTGCGTTAAGCCTATATCTTCCTTTACTCTGAGATTATCAGCCCATAGCAGCAACCTTCTTATTCTCCCATACTAATTTGCTAATTATGATCCATCCAGGACTAGGAAATTGGGTGATTTATTCTAAAGTAAGAATAAATATGCTGTTAGTGAGAAGCTAGAGCCTTTCATGTGAGAAAAGTGTGTAAGCTTGGGTACATGAATCATTTTTTTTCAAGCTTTGCATGTGTGTCTATTTCTTGCTGCAGATAACTGAGTCACTAGAGGCTCCCTCCGAAATGGTGAGCAATTGCCAAGCATGTCTGCAAGTCTCCAAGTCAGAGGTTAATCGATTCCAGTGACTCTTTTGCACCATTATAGAATTTTCTCTTCTTTTGATTCCTCCTTTGTTCAGACAAGATGACATTTGATATTAGTTCTTTCTTATTCTTGAAAATTTTCAGATAAAATTCTGGTATTTCGAAAGTTTTCTTGAAGGACTCCTGACAAGCGAATAGCAAAAGCATCCACTGTCATTACTGCTCCATTTTATAAGTTACCTACTAGCATTTATTATAGCTGAATTTTATAAGTTGCCTACTAGCATTTATTTAATTCTACTTACTTTCAAACAAAGAAAAAGTTTAAAATGGACATTCTATTCTCTAAACCAGTGGTCAGCACATTATAGCATGCAGGCCAAACGCTAGCAGTTTTTATAAGTAAAGTTTTATTAGAACTCAGCTCATTAATTTACACATAAGCCATGATTGTTGTCATGCTATGAGGCAGAGCTAAGTGATTGAGATAGAGACTGCATGACCCAGAAAGCCTAAAAGATCTATTGAAAAAGTTAGTCTACCCTTGATCTAAGCTAACTAGTCACTCTCACCTAAAAAACGTTTATTTCCACAAAGAGGTGAATTCCAACAATATCTTTCTTTTTTGAAATACAAACATGAAAAAATACAAAATAATCAGACAAATTACTAGGCAAATGCTTAATAGTTTCCAAACTACTTTAATATTATTGGTCAATTCTTAATGGTTGACATTGTTCCCAGTGAACATAGGCAGTTACAGGCAACAGTGGAGTTTACACAAGCACCTCACAAGAATATCAATGATTACATCCTCTAAATGCAGCAAAAGGGCATAGGAGAGTGCACATTATAATTTAGTCTCAGACATAAAACTATATGGAATAGAAAATGCCTTAGGTAATAATTGTGCTATATAATGTAAGGCACAATTAATGCAGTGTGAGACCCACAGTATGTAAAAATTACAAACATTGAGAACTGATAATTAATAGACTGTAATGTTATTAAGGCAACCTAACATTTATACTTTTTAAGAAAACAAAACATAAACATTATTTGGACCTACTTACATTTTGTCTGGGTTGTAGCAATGTAAAATTAGGAAGAGAAAATACAATATAATGCCTTCCAAATTGTGGTACCGGAAAGTAGAATTAATATATATAATTTAACTTATAACTCATATTTTGTGATACATTTCAAGTACTTGCTTGCTGACTATAGTTATAATGTTTGAAGGCACATGATTTGCCCATGTTAACCCAAACCTGTGAAATAACTATTAAATGCTATGTGATTTCTAACATAATTATATTGGATACATAGGTTGAATTGGCCCACTGAGTGAGATTTCATTAAAACTCAGCTCTGTTTTTGGCTCCTCAATGCCCTTTGAAACTATTCAATGAATGAAGCTTTGTCCCTGCAATAGATAAAAACTTAGCAGTTCTCATGAGTTTTCTATTTATTTTAAGGTAGACACTGCCACAGTCAAGTAACAAAATAGTCTCATTTCAAAAATTAAGAGTGCAGTTCAGGACTTTAATCCACACATCAATTTCCACTCAATCCTACACATGAGTGTGAGATAATAATACCTTACATTTATATAATCCTTAATAAGGGCAAGTACTATTCTGTGTATTTAACTTTAAAAAAAACTGAAAAGCTACAATAATCAAAACAGCATTGTTGAAAAACTAGAAACATTTTTGGAACTGATCTAAACAGAATAGAGTGCCCAGAATTAGACCCAAACAAATATAGTCAACTGATCTTTGAAAATAGGAGCAGCAATTCCATGCGAAAAGAATAGTCTTTTTAACAAATGAGATGTCCATAAGCAAAAAATCAATCAATCAATCAACCTAAACATAGACCTTACACCTTTTACAAAAACTAACTCAAGAATAGGCATAAATTTAAATAGACATAAATGCAAAATATAGAATTTCTACAATAAAATAGAGTTGAAAATTTAGGTGACATTGGGTTTGGCAACGAATTTTTAAATATAATAACCAAAGCAAAATCCATGATGGAAAAAAATTGATGATAAGTTGAAATGTTACTAAAATTAAAAACTTTTGCTTTGTGAAAGACTCTATGAAGAGAATGAAAACACAATTTTTGCAAAACACTTATCTAATAAAGAAATTTTATCCAAAATAGATGGGGTGGGGGAGGCTCATAAAACTCAACGATAAGAAAACAAGCAACCCAAATTTAAAAATGGGCAAAATGTCTGAACGAATATCTCACCAAAGAAGATACATGGAAAACAGGTAAGTGTATGAAAAGATGTTCAACATCATTTGTCATTAGAAAACTGCTGTTTAAAATACTGAGATATTACCATATACCTTCTAGCATGGCTAAAGTCTAAAAAAAAAAAAAATGATGATATCAATTGCTGCCAAGGATGCATAAGAGTAAGAACTCTTATTCACTGTTGATGGCAATACGAAACCATACGATCACATTAGAAGACAGTTTGGCAGTTTCATAGCTAAATATAGTTTCATCATACACTCTTAGGTATTTACCCAACTGACTTGAAAACTTGGATACCTACACAAAAAAATCTGTACACGGATGTTTATAGCAGCTTTTTAAATAACTGCCAAAAACTGGAAGCAACAAAGATGTCCTTTGATGGGTGAATGGATAAACAAATTTTGAAACATCCATAATACTAGTATATAATTCAATAATAGAAAGAATTGAGCTATCAAAACACAAAAAGACATGGGTGAATCTTAAATGAATATTGCTAAGTGAAAGAAGCCAGTTTGAAAAGGCTACATACTGTATGATTCTAATTACATTTTTCCTCTCATCTCATTTTAGTAAACAGCATTTTTATATCTTAATGCCCCACTTGAGATTTCAATCTAAATATCCTGTTTTTTGATGTATATAAGCACATATTCAGGGCCTAAAAAATATTTAGCCATAAGACACAATTCTAAATATAAACATAGATTTTATGTTATTTCTCTAACTAGATTATAAGTTCCTCAAGTGCTATAATTATATCTTCTACTTCTTTGTAATGTGCACATATATATATACACACGCACGCACATAGAAACATAATTTCCATCCCAAAATTGACTCAATAAATACTGGTGGCTGACTTGATAATTTATCTGTATATACTTAATTCTACAAAAGCAATCAAACCTGAATCTGAACTTGGAACACATAATTTAGAGTCAGAACTTTGACAGCTGAGTTTTCAGCTAAATCACTAGTTGGCCACTTGCAAAGCTGTCATTGGTTAGTACAACTACAGTCGGACAAAGAAAGACCACATTAGACAGTCCACCCTGAAGATCAATGGAATGAACAGTGTTGCATCCAGAGCAAATTGAACATCCAAATTACTATCATAACACATCACTCTATTGGAAGTTTAGACCCTCTAGAATTAGCATACACAGAACTGAAAATTCAGGTGAAATGCATAATTTTTACTGACAAGCTAACAAACCAGCTCAGTTCATTATGAAAAATGTAACAGTGGAAACATGCCTTGGGTTCTCTTTGGTCAAATAGAAATCCGACTGATTCTGAACAGTTCCTCTTTGAGCAGTTTTTAAGTTTTACTTTCATAACCCCTTCCTCACACAAGATGTTCCAAATTCCTCACCCTCCACTGAGGGGCTTTCAGGGATCCAGGACTGTAAACAAGGTATGCACAAGCAGTGGATGGATTAGTAGATGCCAAGGAGCAACCACTCACTCCATCTCTAATCCTCACCAAGAATGGGTTTTTTCCCTTCCTCTCTTCGCAAGTCTGCTTTGTCCCTCCATTTCCTCTTCCATATCCTCTAGCTCCAGGCTTACCTGGCATTTGAGATGGAAAACTAGCTAAATATAAGTATGCATCAGAGTCTTCTCTTCCTGGGTTAGGCCAGGGTCTCCTTTCAGCCATTGTTTCTGCTTCCGTGTGGGCTAAAGAGGGGGAAACAGCCCCCAGGGCACCAGTAAAAGAGCAGAAGGGGAAAGATATACAGAACTTATGTCAGAAAACACACAGTTAATACTATGAGATATAGCCTTACCATAAATGCTTTCCAACCAGCCCTCTTTCCTTTTTGCAAAAAAAAAAAAACCTACTGTCCTTATTCACCTCCCTTGTTGTGTTCTTAAAAACAAAATGGTTTGGGGGGGAAAAAAAAAGTGACACTGTTGAAAAATGTTTAACCAAGATAGACAGAAGAGTTTTTTTTTTTTGGGGGGAGGGAGGGGGGTTGGCAGAGCAAAGGTCTTGGCCCAACAAGAGAATTTAATAATTTAGACTAAGTTGAGGTCATGGTCAGGGACAATGAGAAGGAACCCTTAGTCAGACAGAGTTAGGGTCACAACTGATGGCAATGACTAGGCAAGGAAAGTAATATCAGTTGAGAGAAGCCATGGCTAGTGATCCACACCAGGTAGGTACATTTTTCCTGACTTGGGGTTGGGCGGGGCAGGGAGTGGTTACTAAGCTCCATTAGTCGTAAGAGAATTAATTGGAGCTCCTGGAGTCTATGTAATTAAACTCAATCAGTCAGGACAGATGTGGCTTCTAGAATAGCTCCAAAGATGGTCCCGTATGTAAACCTGCTCTGAGAAATTTTTAATAAATGTGATTTTTTTTTAAATTCTTGGTGGATTTCGAATCTACTCTAAGAAAGCTAGCAAGAAACATTTAGGCCGATAATCCTTAATCTTAGTCCCCCACTCTCACCTCAAAGTACATGGAAATCTATTAAGAGCTAACACCAAATGGCTTTTTATAATTTGTTGTTGATTAAGATATCGGTGTTAGGAAAGATTTTGTGTTTACCAGAAGTTTTTGTAAATTTCTATTAAAAAAGTATCTCCAAATTATACTATAAATACTTCTTTTAGAGATGTATGTGACCCTTTTGGGATGAATTATTTTTAAAAGGCTAGTAACAAGTATATTTCTCTGTCTCAACTCAGTGGTGTATAAATATGATGTAGTTTTGTTTTTCTCTAATTACTGCCTTAAACCAA